ATTTCTAATAAAATTACCCCGTAACTTTATATTAGAAATCAAATTCAATTATTTAATCAGATAATTTCATCGAACCGAAATCAAAATAAAAATTAAATTTTACTCTATTATAAATTAATCCCACATTATTAATCACCATAAAATTCATCTTAAATAAGTCTAAACTCTAATATATAATTACAATCGCAGTAATAGCTAATTATTTATCCGTAATGAAAAGAAAACCAATATTTTTTAAATAATAGATACGTACAATAAATTTTGATTGAGCTTAGATTTGTGCTATATCATTACTGAACTCCAATGGCACCTTCCCCTGGTCTAGTAACCTAGCGCGCGGCAGAATATCTTCGTGGCAACTGTTCGTATCAAGCAAGATGGACGTGCTAATATTCAAGTGAGCAGTTCGGGAGTTGGATACTTCGATTCAGAAAAGTCTAAGCTGGGGGGCATCGGTTGTAGAAATGACCATTTCTTTATTATTGTTGAGATATTAACAATATTCGACGAGCGTTCTTGCTGCTACTGCCACGCCGCTCACGACTGCCCCGCACGCCACCTTTCACTGGTCAAGAAACCTAGCGCGCGGCAGAACGGGCTCATGAAGCAGGAATCAGTTTCATGAAATTCAGTTTGTGAAACGGTTTTGACGACATGGCAACATTGCGGCGAGGAATGAAATGTGGCACAGAAACATATGCGTGTGCCACCATAGACATTTTGTAGCACGTAGAGGTGGAGTACTGTATCGTATCGCAGACGAGTATGGAGGAGTGTTAATTTCCTTTCCAAGAGCAGGTGTAGACAGCGATCGTGTAATATTGAAAGGTTCGCACGATTGCTGATATGCCTTTCAGGTACAGATATGTTGTACTTAAGACATATATAGATATATACACTTACCATCAAAAGTTAAGAAACAAAACAGTTACTCGAAAATTAACATGACATGAAATTTTATCACTATTTGGGACCATATTTTGCAGTTTTATTAGTATATGTTTATTACAATACATTTTTTTTTATTATTGTGCAATACATAATTACATATATTTTCCATGGAGTTTAAACCTGACCACTTAATATTCTGAATATTATTTTCTGTTAAAAAGCCTGTACTAACATTGAAGCAGATTTTGAGACATAATCATATTGAAGTCAGTGTTCTTATATATAAGAATGTATCCTTCTTTCTTCGTTCTTGCAAAAGAGATTATTTTAGTCCT